CATTCTTATGTTCTTAAGTTTATTAATATTCCTAAGAGGCTAACGAAGATGTAGAAATGCTCCCATATAGACATTCTAGTTAGTATCTGAGTAAAAAATGGAATTCACTACAAACACACACATATGGCTAGAAATCTGCTGTGCAAGAAGAAGAGTGTAAAAATGTACGTCAGTGGAACTTACAAGCTCCTGAAGGTAGGTATTGTGTCTTCTTTCTGTTTGGAATTTGCCTAACATGTTTCAAGAACCCTCAGAAGCAAACAGTAAAGATCTGAATAGAGAGATGTCCAAGTAACATCAACCCTTGCAGCATGTACAAGTAGGCATGCTTTTCAGACTAGGGGGGAGGCTGTCGATCCAGCCAGTGCACATCTTCTGCTGTTATCAGTAAGCACTGGTTAGAGGGCATTTTATCCCTGCTCATTGGAAAAGCAGTTCATTCAGTAGTTCATAGAATCATAGAAGATTAGGGTTGGAAGAGACCTTAGGAGGTCATCTAGTCCAACCCCCTGCTCAAAGCAGAACCTAACAAAATCATCCCCGCCAGGGCTTTGTCAAGCCAGGCCTTAAAAACCTCTAAGGATGAAGATTCCACTACCTCCCTAGGTAACCCATTCCAGTGCTTCACCACCCTCCTAGTGAAATAGTTTTTCCTAATATCCAACCTAGACCACCCCCACTGAAACTTGAGACCATTGCTCCTTGTTCTGTCATCTGCCACCACTGAGAACAGCCTAGCTCCATCCTCTTTGGAACCCCCCTTCCCCTTCAGGTAGTTGAAGGCTACTATCAAATCCCCCCTCACTCTTCTCTTCTGCAGACTAAATAAGCCCAGTTCCCTCAGCCTCTTCTCATAAGTCATGTGCTCCAGCTCCTAATCATTTTCATTGCCCTCCACTGGCCTCTCTCCAATTTGTCCACATCCTTTCTGTAGTGGGCGGCCCAAAACTGGATGCAATACTCCAGATGTGGCCTCACCAGTGCCGAATAGAGGGGAATAATCACTTCCCTCAATCTGCTGACAATGCTCCTACTAATGCAGCCCAATATGACTCATATCCAGTTTCTTGTACACTATAATCCCAAGGTCCTTTTCTGGAGAACTGCCACTTAGCCAGTCAGTCCCCAGCCTGTAGCAGTGCATTTCTTTGCCTCAGCTCTCTTGGTGGAATCCTGGCCTAGCTGGCAAGATTTGTGTAGCACAGGATGTACCAGACAATGTCTCTGCCTCATTTCCATGCAATGATCAGGGAGGACGTACAGTAGTTCATATTGTAGAGAGATTGTATAGGATTTTCCAAAGAAAGTATATATAAACGTTATTGAAAATAATATAGCTGTCTCCCTTTCTCTGTAATGTCTGACCTAAAAAAAGGTGCTAGAACTGAATGAAATGAAAATGAAGTGTGGCCTACCCTAACATATAAAATACACTTGTAGATTAGAGGAAAAATTGAAAAATGTGACTAAGGGAAAGGTTCATAAGTTAAAGCTATCAAGAGTCTAGCTTAACGTTCTGACTAGACCATTTGATACTTAATCAAAATGAGTACTTGTCATACCAACTATAGTAACCCATGATACATACACTCTGGGCCCAATCCTACTCACATTGAAATGAATGTCAAAATTCCAATGCATTTAAGTGGGAGCTAAACTGAGCTTTTTTTGAAGTAGAGTGCACTGCAATGAAGAAATAAATTCACCAAAAATGTATGCCTATTATAAACTTAATTTGTGTATGGTGGAAAATACATGTTACAGCACATAACTGTCTTAACATTTTGGTTTTTAAATTAACTGTATTTGGCAAAAAGAGTTGTTAAATACTTGGATAGTAAACAGAAGTTAACTATTAAATAGATTTGGAGGGAGGTGACAATTGTGAGAAGGAAAATATCTGTATATATTTTTTAGATAGCAATAGATAGCTGCATAGACAGGTGAAATGTGTATTGACATATCATTGACATTGAGCATTTCAGTGCTGCTGCTGTAGACTGCATGCAAGATAACTACACTTTCTTTAAAAAAAGTACACCATATTTCAGCTGTAAGCATATGATCATTTTATGTACGGCCAAAAATTGGTCAGACTCCTAAGGCCTAGCAAGGCATTTCACAGTTTGATTTCCATGTGCAGCTATACTTTTATCTACCTTTCTCTCATGTAATATCATATGATAATACACATAGATGAATCATGCCATTTTCACCATAACATGTAGCAAAAATCTCCTGTGTGTAAAGTTATTCACCTGCTTAAGTGTTTGCAATGTCAGGGCTTACTATGAAAAAAGATCCAATATTTTTGAAATCTTAAATAATTTTCAAATAAAATGTTTATCCTTCCAGTATCACAACATGCACCTTCTTTCTGCAGCGTATGTAAAAAGAGAAAGTTTTGACACTAATAGTAGGAAAGAGACCATACTTCACTCATTAGCTTTGTAGTATTATAATAATACTTTACACTTGCAGACTCTTATCTGAGAAGCACATTGATTAACTCTCACAACACAATTCTGAGGAAAGCATAGCGGTCACTGTTAAGAAGTTACCATTTCTCATACTCTGGTTATGTGAGCAGGCTTTTCCCCTATCTAAGTACTGAGAAATACTATGCAATAACTTGTTTGCTGTGTTGTTGTAGCCGTGTCAGTCAAGGTGGGTGAGGTAATATCTTTTATTGGACCAACTGCTGTTGGTGAAAGACAAGCTTTTGAGCTTACACAGAGCTCGACTTCTTCAGGTCTGTATAAACTCAAAAGCTTGTCTCTTTCACCAACAGAAGTTGGTCCAATAAAAGATATTACCTCATTGCCTTGTCTCTCTAATATTCAATAATGGTTAGTGTTGACTTTTTAAATGGTGGTAACTGTAAATATTCTCCTCTGTTTACAAATGGGAACACAAGGTCTGGAAATGTTAAGTCACTTGCACCAAGATTGCTAACTGTGTCGCTGGTAGAGATAGGAGGAGATCATAAATCTCAGGCCTCTGCTTTCTCCTTCCTCTAATATGGAAGTGGCTGGAAGATTTAAATACTTTGATCTTTTAGAGTGAATGAAATTTGACAGGGAGGGAATGATGTGACTTTTTAAAGTTATGAACTGGGAGTCAGGATTCAGTTCTTAACTCTGCCACAGACTTGCTCTGTGACCTTTGGCAAGTTGCTTAATCTGCATCTCGGTTCACACATATGCAAAATGGGGATGAAAGTATTTACCTACATCACAAGCATTGTGAAGCTTAACTAATGCCTGGAAATCACAGATGTCCAAAAAAGTATTGTTTTCACCAGATAATGTTACAATAAATACTGTGTAACATTTTTCTACTTTTAGATTGCATTTAAAATGTAAAGACTATTGCTGGAAAAGTCTACAAATATCTTTGACTTGAAGGGGATGTTTGTAATAAATGATCATTTTAACTTAGAAAACAATGCTAGATTTTTACAATTCAGTTTTTTTATAAATTGAAATCACAATGAGAAAGATCTATCCTGATTTATGCTCCATGAAACTCAACTGACTACAACAGGGTGTAAAGCAAGGTAGATTTTGAACCCATATTAGCAAATACCAACCTGCCCATTAAAGTGCCATGGCCTCTTTATTTCAGTGGAGAGGGTAGATTTCTCCAGACTATAAACATAAACATATTTTATAAACCTATGGAATGTTAAAAGCTAATCACAGAAGCAAACTAATAATAATCATAGTCTTCAATCCTGGAGATATGCACATGCTTAATTTTAAGCATGTGAATAGTTCAATTGACTTCAATGGGTCTACTTATGTGCTTAAAGTTAAGCATGTGTGTAAGTGTTTGCATGTGTGTAAGGGCCATAATTTCTGCACATGGGAATAAATATTGCATATTGGCAAGGTGTTCTGTCAGGTGTTATAACACATTTACTTAACATTAGACATTTGGAGGATGTTAAATAAAACTTCCAAATAGTCACAACAATTCTAATTTAAACACATTGCAAAACAGTCTCAGCCTATCTAGTAATTGCATGGATTTTTTTACTTGAGAAGATGTGTGCTTCACAGACATGTCTTCTTTGTATTGATTCAGGCCACAGGTGTAGATGCAGTAGGAATAAGACTGTACATCAAATAGTGTCAAATTGATATAAAAAATAAGAGTATTTTGTAGTTTGAGTCATACTGTAATACTGTTTCCCAGCAAATTAAAAGCTGAGTATTTTATTCATCATCAAATTCATACATGCTCTTTTAAATGTTTATCCAACATTTGACCTTCATGTTTTGTTAATATTCTAGTATTGCTTTATTGTAGCATATTGTAATTCATTTTCACTGCTGAGTTGGTTATGATTATGTTTTTTACTCTTGGAAGAATCTAGAATTCCCTGTGTGAAATTGCACATGGGTTTTGCAAGACATGAAAGACCATATATTTCTTAAAAAGAGAAAGAGGCCTTCGTCAATACTGTACTCTTTCTGGAGTGAAAAACAAAGGGAAAAAGAGAATGATAATTGTTTTCTCTAAGGCTATTAACTAATGCGAAAGCAAATAGTCTGACTGAAAATCAGCTAACAGAAGGGGATTAGAGAGTAGATCTGAGAGTGGCTTGATTTCTAGCAGTGCTGTCTCTTCAGACAGTGATGAGATACAGGCAGAGAAGCCAGGAGCTCTCCAGATGGCTAGGGAAAGTGTTTGTCTTGGGTTACTGCAGGGCAGTCTGGACTCTTAAAGCAGGCAGCCTTGGGAAGGCATCATTAGGGAGCAAGTTACATGTCCACCCAGTAAAAGAGAGAGAAAGAAAGAAAGAGTAGGCAGACTGCCCAAGAGGGACTGTGCTTGCCTATTGTTAACATATACTTGACCCTCACTAACCTCCTCACGACACAGATGTCTCCTACCTCTATCACCTCCCACTGCTTTAAGCCCTCCCCCCCTGCACCTGGGTAGCTGAGCCAGGCCGGCTGCTTGCAGTATGCTGTTTGACTTTAGAGGTGGCTGGTAGCAGAGGGAGAGACACAGACACAGCGGAGTCTTTCTGCGGGCGGATCTGCACAGACATTGCATGGAGCTTCTCTTCCAAGGCAGACACAAGGCAGTCCTGCAAATCTATGCATCGCCGTCTTAGAGAGAGACAGACAGAGACACCACCACTGACAGTAGCAATTCCCGATACTCCAGATCACATTTGTCTGCAGCAGCAACAGAAAGGGACCTGGGCATTAATTCTCTACTTTGTTTTATTTGTGGTTCTTGCTCCTTTCCCCTGGACCCAGTCGTCTCTCTCGCACTGCTCCCCCTTTGACAAGCGGCTGGAGTTCCTTTTCGGCTCGTTTTGACTTTTTGTGGACGTGGATGAGCTGGACTGGAAGGGAAGCTGCATTGCACTGCATTCCCCTCTCCCACTCCCTCTGCCCTCCAGCAGCCTGGGCTGGCGGCTCTCCCCCAAGGAGGACGGGAACTTTTATTTTCAGCTCACAGCCTGTGGCGAATGGTGGGACTCTCCGGTCCTTTTCAGTGTAAGTACCGAGAAGGGGCGTGCAGCCCCGGGCCCGGATCACTTGGGGGGAGGAGGGGGGGAGTAGGGAGTCGGGCTCCCCGTTCTTTTCCTCTCCCTTGTAGGATTGGTTTTAGGATCGGTCTAACTAAGGGGCTCTTGGCTGTAACTAACCCACTCGGGGCGATGCTGCAGGGTTAGAATTGCATGCACATACAAACCAACAGCCCCGCGCACAATTCTGTACTAACAACTCTTCAGCGTGCAGGGGGAAAAACACCCACTCTTGCAGGGAAATTAGCATTTCAAGCAAGTTTCATTGTCATCTTCCGTACCACATTGTCATATTGTTTGTCTCGTTTTAGAATCTGCTTTTTTTCTTGCAAGATCACAGCGCTGGCCAGTGTGATCTGGAATGCCTGAAATATTTCGGGTCATTTCTCCCCCCTCCTCCCCCCCCGTTACAATAGTCGGATTATGTAGTGTTGGCAACATCACTACTGGCTGTTTTGCAAGAAATATTTCAGGAGCGCACATCGTATTAAACTGCTTGGCAAGCTTGAAAATCTATCCGCTTCCTAAAACGATGCGGCAGTATTATATGTTGCATTTCTAAAGTTGCAACACAGTTTTACGCTGATAATCTTTAATCTGATTCAAAAAGGTTTGATTCCAGTAATTCATTATTTAGCTTTCGAGAAGGGAGATCAAATAATGCAGAACCCAGACGCGAATTTGTTAGATGAGCCTTTGACTTTTGGTGCGTTCGAGTCCCTTCACTAGTGACAAAGTTTTAAGGGGTCCAATACATGGTTTAGTCTGGAAAGGGCCTTGCAACCTTAACTGTGGCATCCCCGATAAGGCGACTCTATTATTATATGGTAATTGACAGTTAAATATATGCATACAATCTGTACCTTCCTGTCATTCCGAATTTTATAAAGAAACAAAGGGGAATACAGTAATACATACTGAAATGTTTTCCATCAAAAAAGAGGCAGAATGTTATCTTCTAAGCTTAGTCAGAAGTTTAAACAAGGGGCGGGAGAAGGTAAAGATAGATTAAAACATCCTCATACGCCCCCACCAAAAAGTTCCTCTCTAGCTATTTTTAGTCCGGAGTCCCAGTTATTATCGCGGGATGAATCGATTTGCAGCAGTGGTGAACATCTCCAGATTAAATGGCGAAGGAGTATCAACATTCAGTGCTTTAGAATCATATTAAGAACACGAAGGGTTATTACTAGTGTTTAGCCACCCTGTCAAGGATCAGCATCATACCATCTTCTTGGCAGATGAAGGGTATGTTAAAATCCCAGAGACTGTCCATTTACATCTGCTGTCTTTAATTGTATAGAATCATAAAATGTAGATATGGAAAAGACCTATTATTCTAGCCAGTTCATCCTTCTCATGTAGGGCTAAAGATGCAGATTGTGTACATAAGTCATTCAAATGTGGGATTCTGGTAAAATAGTACATAACAGATTTTCCATAAAAAACTAGTCAAGTTTCCTATTGTAAAATATGACAAAATTGAAAACACTGTATTTGTTCTGGTAGTACACGGACTTTAAAGTTATGGCAAATATTTAATAATATGTGTACATAATACACAGTGGTATACCTCTGAATATTACTAAAGCTCCTATTAATATTTTAAGAGTAAAGATACATGATGCAAAAAATCACTACTAGTTTGGCATGATCTACAATATTTGGGTGAAGCTAGGTATATACTCCCTAAAAGTAATCTACCTGAAAAAACTGTATCTTCTGCAAAAATATTTAAAATGAAGTTGCCTTGCCAAATATTAGGTTACAGGCATACCCTTCACTAACCAAGAGGATGTATTCTGGAATGTAGTACAAGGGGTTTGCTCCAGGAAAAATTCATGTACTTAATGTAACTCTGACCCCTTTAACTTTTAACATCGCTTCCCCTAATTAATCTGTTCAGGCCCCAGACTTAAATGGCTGTCCACAGCTGCTGCAAATTGATTTATCCACTGATGGTGGTCTGAGTTGCTGACCAAAGCAGGATATATTTTTTTCCCCATTTTTGGACTAACTTTAATCTGTTTTGACTATTTTAAAACTTATTTTAACACCTGCACAAATTTTGAAGGAATTTTAAAAAATCTTTTCTTTTGATATCTAGCTAGAAACATTATTATTGTATTTCTAAAAAAGTATGTCAGAGTTAGAGGTGAATGTCGTTTTCTGAATACTTCTGTATGCAGGATGTATCCCCTTCTCCTCCAGTTCCACATCCTGACAGAATGCAGTGGAAAGTTTAAATAAGCGGTTTTGTTATGATTAATAAAAACAGTTTGAGGCAAGAGGTTTAGCCTAACCTAGATGAGAGACATTTGTAGACTTTTGTAGCTTTTAATTCTATTATCCCGATCTTCTGATCTGGCTTGGCATTAACAGTTCTAGTGAATCTGGATAACAGAGTAATAGTGAAACTGGTTTCTAATGGTTGTTAAAGCTGATGCTTGACCTTTTCAGTGGAAGTCTGAAAACTCATTCAGTTTGTTCCGGGCTGATTTCCTTAGGAAATCCAATATGATCGGGGAATTTCCTTGCGCTTGAGTGACTATTAAAGTTCAGCTGCCTTGTTTATATGTTCTGTTTTTAGCACCAGGTATTTCTGGGGTTCCCACTTAAAAAAAATACTAAGAAAAATTATCTGAAAATGCCTTACAGTATAAACAGCCTATTGTATAATAGGTCATATAAATAATGTAGCTATCTTGCAGTCTCACTATTAAGCCTTTTAATTAGGAAGCTATCTTATTTGATTATTGAGAACTTTTCTGATCAGCTTATCAGGTTTGAGCCTGTAATGTAATCATTGTTACTCTGGTTCATGCATCAGGTTTTTTTCCTCACCACAATATAAAGTTCAATTATACAATGGACAAGTAAAAAAAATTGTCAATATCTGGCAAGCTGAAACCAGACAAGGAGTATTTAAAACAGCAGTGCTCCTTATGGAGCTCAGCTTTAATGATTTCAATAATACCTAACACTACTTTGTTTCTAAACTATTAGAATGGTCTAACAGACAAAACACATTTTGTTTGTAATGGAATGCAGACAGCAGTGTTAGGTCACTGTTTGCTGGCAACTGCTGCACAAGTTGTTTTTCTTCAAAGGCTCCAAGCTTTTAAATATTTTCCAAAATCTTTTTAAAGTAAAACATTGCCTTCTGCCATTTTTGACCACTTTAATGTTGACTCAAATTTTTGCCAAAGTCATCACACTGTGTCTCATCTGTGTATACTTAGCTCTGTGTATGCCTGTGTGTACATGGAGTTTGATGCTAAAAGTATTGTTTATGGGGGGGGGGGGGGGAAGGGGGAAAGCTCCACCTGGAGTGCTGGTCAGTCAATGGCTAGTCAGTTCCACACATTCTTCCCTGTCAAATCCTGTTTCTCACTTCTCTGAACTGAACTTCATCTGACAGGCATTGAATGCAAAGCCTGCTTCACTGAGGTTCTATGCAGACTGCACAGTTCCTCATAGCCAGGCACTTTGGAAAAATAGGCATCTGCAGTATTTGCAGTGGGGATGAGGGGGAAGGCAGTTACAATTGTTATTTTCATCTTGCAAATCCACTTGCTACAGTTAATTACTGTTAAATCTTTAGCTAATTAAAAAAGTATCTTGGTAGGTTGTTTTGGGGGGGCTTCACAATTTTATTTTTTTTTTAAAAGCTTTTTCTTTGTTTTGTAGGAACTTAAGGCTTCTTGATCTTTGCATACAATTTATCAACTGAAATAACACATGTACTTACTGTTGTGTAAAGATTATTCTCATGGTTTGGTTACAGGCATATAGAGGGAATTCCTTTAAAATCTGGCTCATTCAAAAACTTGTAGACATGTAGTTAGCAATGTCCTATATGTTTCACATAGCCTTTAATTAGTAACTAGCTAAAGATATTTGTAAGAGTTTAAACAAGCACTAGCACTGAAAATAGTATCAGTATTAAAAAGTGTAAACTAATTTTTAAAAGAATAGCCTTTGAAATTTCTTAATCTCCTTTCATATTCACAAATCTGATAAAATGAAAGGTTTAGGGAGATTAAATGTTCAACCAACAATATACAAGTTTCAAAACTAAATTTTAACATAATCCTGCTTGCACTATTTACATTAAATGTTACAGTTTAAAGACATGTTTTAAAACTATAGCTATTCTGCTCTTGTTTACTTAATACTGGCTTAGTCTAGCTTAATATATGGAAGCATAAAGCTCTCAGAAAAAAGCTCTCATGATTTTGCATGTTAAACAATGACCAGCAGGTGTAAAATCAAATGAAAAATTAAGTAAGAGTTATCCTTAAAAAGAGGAACTTGATTTCAAAACAAAATGATTACTTTTAATCTGAAAGACATTGACTTACATCTTCATTTTTTTCTGCCATTGATATAAAAGTTTCCAAATAGTGTTTAGAGAACAGTGGACATGTTATTAAAGTAAACATTAGCTCAGTATAATGGAGGTAATTGTAAGTGATAAGAGCAGAGCAGGTTATCTGTGTGTTGTTTAAACACAAGGAGCTACTTTGCACCATTTCCAGTAGCCATCTGTATAAGAGAAGGGTTTGCACCTGTCTGTCCACACTAATTATAGATTAGGGGCAAAGAAATGAAATTTGAGTAGGCTTTCTGCTAATGAAATCCATAGTGATTTTATTGTAAATGTGGTTTATGTACAGAGGGTGATGGTTGGGTTGTGAGTAAAATAAATTGCTGTATGTCTGTAATGTATTTGTAGTTGTGAAGCAGAATACTGCTGCATTAACAAAGGTGCTGAATAAAGATGCAACACTCCATTTATATTCTAGGCTTCAGTTACGGGTTTAGCTCAATTTAGTAAAAATATTCATTTTAATCACAGGGTTTAAGCATATATATCAGGACAGACTTTACATTTAATTCTCATTTCATTGTACTGGCATAGAGAAGGTCCTCTGACTGAAGAATATGAGAAAAAATTATGTTTAA